CTACTTCCAATAGGGTTGGGTGTTTCTCTTCCACTTGCCTCCTTTATCCTCCTCCTCTTTTCACCGCCAACCATTGCCCTAATTCCACCCATTAATGCCACAGCAACCACTACAATCACCAAAGGCACCAACATCACCAAACCGGGATGCCCAGAAAAATGCGGGAGCCTCACGGTTCCGTACCCGTTTGGAGTCGGCTCGGGTTGTGCTCTCGACCCCAGCATGGAAATCAACTGCAACACTACCTCTAGCAATGATACAAATCCTCTAATAGGAAACATTGGCGTGTACCACATCTCCGACTTGTTAAAAGTGATCAAGCTTGAACCGGGTTAGGTGTTATGCAGCCATGCACACGTAGAAATTAGTTTATTTTAATTATTTTCTTATTGTTATTAGAATTCAGGTTGTTGCCTAGTTTTTAGGTGTTGAATGGGTCATTTAGTTGAGCATGTTTATTTCAGTTTTATCTCATTAAGTAAGGCACATTTATAGGCATTATTAGGAAGTGGTTATTATGCATTACCACACGTCTTGTAAGGCTATAAAAAGCCTAGCTTGATTACACTTCAATATATGAAAAAAACGAATAGCTTTGCTTCTTCTTTTAGTCTAAATACATAGAATTATACTTTGTTCTTCATTGGCTTGATCCAACATTTGGTATCAGAGCCTAAGGGGCGATCTGTGAGACGTGAGGAAGTGAGTAAACACAAGCTCAACATACACAAGCTCAACTATCAACATACACAACAATGGCTGCCAACGGAAATGGTGGTGGGAATTCTATTACCCAGCTGCCAGTATTTAAGGGTATCAATTACCTCTTTTGGAGTTTGAAAATGAAAACACTTTTCAAGTCTCAAGAACTGTGGAGCATTGTTGAGGATGGTTTTGAAGATACTCAGCAAGAAGATCCAGATCAAGCATTGAGGGACAAACGGAAGAAAGATGCAAAAGCCCTTTATTTCATACAACAAGCCTTGGATGATGAGGTATTTCCAAGGATTGCTGCTGCCTCAACATCCAAAGAAGCATGGAGTATTCTGAAGCAAGAGTACATGGGAGACAAAAAGGTGATCTCCATGAGGTTGCAGACTCTGAGAAAAGAGTTTGAGAACTTTAAAATGAAGGAGCAAGAAACAATCAATGACTATCTCTCAAGGATCACATCTGTGGTGCAGCAAATGAGATCCTATGGTGAAGAGGTTAAGTCCAAGCAGATTGTGAGCAAGGTGTTGAGGAGTCTCACAAAGAAATATAGCCATGTGGTGTCAGCCATTGAGGAGTCCAAAGATTTGGAAGGCTACACATTTGATGAATTAAAAGGATCTCTCCAAACACATGGAGAGAGGCTGTCTGAAGAGGATGATGAGAAGGAAGAAATGGCTTTTCAAGCCAAGGGTGACACACCTAACAAGGAGAGGGCTCAATCCAGCTCAAGGGGTAGAGGCAGAGGTCATATAGGAGGCTTTAGAGGGGGCTCTAGAGGTGGTTCTAGAGGAGGTTTCAGGGGAGGACGTGGCAGAGGTCAGCAAAATGAAGGAAGGGAGGAGTACACAAAAACCAGCTCCAAAGCTCCCCTGAAGTGTTACTATTGTAACAAACCTGGTCATAAAGAGGCTGTATGTTGGAAGAAAATTGAGGATGAAGGAAAGCAGGAGCAAAAATCAAACTATGCTGAACAAGAGAACTTGTTTCTAGCCCAGCATAGTTGTGATAGTAGCAGTTCTAAGGTGTGGTATGTTGATAGTGGTTGCTCAAATCACATGACAAGTTCAAAATGCATCTTCAAAGATCTGGATGACTCAAAGAGAAGCACTGTACGACTGGGAGATGGGAAGCAGCTCACAGTAGAAGGCTTGGGAACCATTTCATTGCAAACTGAGCAAGGTAAGACAAAGCTTCTTCACAATGTTCAGTATGTCCCTGAGTTAACTCATAATTTGCTAAGTGTTGGGCAACTTGTGAGTGGTGGATACTCAGTGGTATTTGAAATGGATATGTGTGTTATCTAGGACAAGACAACAGGTGAGGCCTTGATCAGAATTCCTATGGGAAAGAATAAAGTCTTTCCTTTAGACCTGACTGAGAATGGAAATCAGGTCCTTGTGGTTAGAGGAGAAGAGAATGCCAAGTTGTGGCATCTTAGGTATGGCCATCTAAATCTTTCCAGCCTCAAACTACTTAGTACAAAGGAGTTTGTGCATGGACTACCAAGTATTGGTGAGTTGGAGTTTTGTGAGGGTTGTGTGTATGGAAAGCAAACACATTTTCCATTTCCAAAAGCTCAAGCATGGAGGGCAAGTGACTGCCTAGAACTGGTGCATGCTGACTTATGTGGACCAATGCAGACAGAGTCATTGGGTGGAAGTAAGTACTTTCTACTCATTACCGATGATTATAGTAGAATGTCATGGGTGTATTTTCAAAAGTCCAAGTTAGAGTCTTTTGAAAACTTCAGAAAATTTAAAGCCTTAGTAGAAAAACAAAGTGGCAAGGTGCTAAAGGCTTTAAGAACTGATAGAGGAGGGGAGTTCATTTCCAATGAGTTTATTCAATTCTGTGATGAGCATGGAATTAGAAGGGAACTCACTGCACCATATACTCCTCAGCAAAATGGAGTAGCTGAGAGGAAAAACAGGACTGTGGTAGAGATGGCAAGGAGCATGATGAAGGCCAAGAAACTACCAAATCAGTTTTGGAGTGAAGCCGTGGCAACTGCAGTCTATTTGCTCAACATCTCACCAACTAAAGCTGTGCAGGATGCAACTCCATTTGAGGTATGGAGGCAGAAGAAACCTACAGTAAGTCACTTAAAATTTTTTGGATGCATTGCATATACTCTGGTGAACCTCAGAACCAAACTTGATGATAAGACTGAGAAGTGCATCTTTGTTGGATACTCAGTACAATCTAAGGCTTATAGATTGTATAATCCTCTCACTGGTAAGATTATCATTGGTAGAAATGTGATCTTTGATGAAGACTCAAGCTGGGAATGGAGTCAAAACACTCAGCTTACTAAAACCCCACAAAGAATAGTTACTTTGGAAGGTTCAGAGGAAGCAACTACAGCAGTGACACAACCAAACTCTCCTGTAACATCGCATGGTTCATCAACCTCTTCAAGCAGTCAAGGCTCAACATCATCAAGTGATTCTCCTCCACTACGTGTAAGGTCACTAATAGATATCTATGAAAGTTGTGATTTTGCCTTGATAGCTACTGAACCTGCAAGCTATGAGGAGGCCATTACACAAGCAGAATGGAAGGAGGCTATGGAAGAAGAAATAAAATCAATAGTGAAAAATGAAACATGGGACCTTGTCAGCTTACCTCAAGGAAAGAATGTCATAGGATTGAAATGGGTATTCAGGATCAAATACAATCCTGATGGAAGCATTTCAAAGCATAAAGCCAGGCTGGTGGTGAAAGGGTATGCTCAGCAAGAAGGGGTGGATTATGAAGAAACTTTCTCCCCAGTTGCAAGGTTTGAAACTGTGAGAGTAGTTCTGGCCTTAGCTGCTCAATGGAAACTTCCAGTCTACCAACTGGATGTAAAGTCAGCTTTTCTCAATGGAGAGTTATTGGAAGAGGTGTTTGTTGAACAACCTGAAGGGTTTGTGAAAGAAGGGGAAGAAGGAAAGGTGTATAAGCTAAAGAAAGCACTTTATGGGCTAAAGCAGGCACCTAGGGCATGGTATAGTAAGATTGACTCTTTCTTTCTAAGCAAAGGCTTCACCAGAAGTGAAAACGAGCCAACTCTATATGTAAAGAAGCAAGGTATGGATGATTTTATTGTAGTTTGTCTCTATGTTGATGACATAATCTACTTTAGCTCTTTACATAGTCTGTTGGAAAGTTTCAAAAGGTCAATGAAGCAGGAGTTTGAGATGACAGATCTAGGCATCTTGCAGTATTTCCTTGGTTTGGAGGTCAAACAAGGAAATGAGGGAATCTTCTTGTATCAGAAGAAGTATGCCAAAGATTTACTTCAGAGATTTCACATGGAGAAGTGTGACATGGCTCGGACACCTATGAACACCAATGAGAAACTACAGAAGAATGATGGAACTGAAGGTGCAGATGAAAGGCAGTTTAGAAGCCTGGTAGGTGGATTGATTTATCTCACACACACTAGACCTGATATAGCATTCAGTGTTAGTGTAGTGTCTAGATATATGCATTGTCCTACAAAGCAACATTTTGGAGCAGCAAAAAGAATACTAAAGTACATAGCTGGAACAATTGACTATGGACTATGGTATGGAAGTGTGAAGGATTCCAAGCTAAGGGGGTATACAGATAGTGATTGGGCAGGGTGCATTGATGATAGAAAGAGCACATCAGGCTCAGTATTTGATCTTGGAACTGGGGCAATCACTTGGAGTTCTAAGAAACAAGATACTGTGGCACTATCATCATCTGAAGCAGAGTATGTTGCTGCAGGAGCTGCAGCAAAACAAGCACTCTGGCTGCAGAAACTTTTAATGGACCTGGGCTATAAGCAGGAAGGTGAGCCTAAGCTTTGGTGTGACAACAAGTCCACCATTGCTATGACAAAGAACCCTGCATTCCATGCAAGAACCAAGCATATTGATGTACAATACCATTTTATAAGACAGCTGGTGGCTCAGGAAAGGATCAATTTGCAGTTTTGTGGAACAAACCTTCAGAATGCTGATTTGTTCACTAAAGCCCTAAATCAAGCTAAACATTTCTATTTCATGGAGAAGTTAGGCATGTGCAAGCTTGGATCAAGGGGAGGTGTTAAAAGTGATCAAGCTTGAACCGGGTTAGGTGTTATGCAGCCATGCACACGTAGAAATTAGTTTATTTTAATTATTTTCTTATTGTTATTAGAATTCAGGTTGTTGCCTAGTTTTTAGGTGTTGAATGGGTCATTTAGTTGAGCATGTTTATTTCAGTTTTATCTCATTAAGTAAGGCACATTTATAGGCATTATTAGGAAGTGGTTATTATGCATTACCACACGTCTTGTAAGGCTATAAAAAGCCTAGCTTGATTACACTTCAATATATGAAAAAAACGAATAGCTTTGCTTCTTCTTTTAGTCTAAATACATAGAATTATACTTTGTTCTTCATTGGCTTGATCCAACACGACTCCCAAGTCTGGATCTCCAACGAAGTTGTTTACCAATGCTACAACCGGAAAGGGGCCGTGACCTCACAAGATTGGGCGTCTACAACTTGGACCGATTTCAGCATTTACAACCCCTACACTTTCTCTCATGAAAATAAGTTCACTGTTGTCGGGTGCGACGACGATGGTACCTTGGCCAGAGACAACCTCGGAAAGATGAAGAGGACCGCACAAGTCTGCTCCGCCTCTTGCGACAAGCCGGAGGATGTGATTGGCGGAAGCTGTGAAGGTACCAACGGCTGCTGCGAATACACGCTCCCCAAGGGATCCAAGTATTATAGCTTAGTTAGATTGGAATCCCAGTCCAACCATACTCAGGTCTGGTCCGGTAACCGTTGCGGGTACGCGTTTATTGGGGAGACCGGCAAGTTTAACTTCCGGGGCTTCGATGACCTTAAGGATCCGAATTTTATACAGAGGGTCATGGAAACCGTTCCGATTGTACTGGATTGGGCTATTGGGATTCTGAGATGTAAGGTCGCTAATAACAGCGATGATTATGCGTGCAAGGAGAAAAGTCAATGCGTTGACGTTGACAATGATTCCGGAGGTTACCGTTGTAGGTGTGACAATGGTTATATGGGCAATCCTTATATCTCTGACGGCTGCAAAGGTACGTACGTAGTCGGTACATGTTTAACGAGTGAGGATATATACCGTAATTACAATACATCATTAGTTATCAATTGGTTCAGGTCAATAAATATATGTAAAAGTAAATGAAGTAATGCAAAGTTATAAAAGTAGTCAGACTTTTAATCATGTATAAGCAAAACATTCTTTAATGAGGAAAATTTGTAAGTAGAAATAAAAGTTATAATAAGTCTTATTTAGGAAGTCTTATTTAGGGAATATAATATATTTAGGAAGTCTTATTTAAGGAATATAATATATTTAGTCCTACTTTTTACGATGCTACGTATACTATAATGAGCAATTTTTAATTTTTCATGCATATCCATATTCAATTTTAGGGGGTTTTCATTTAAATATTACTAATTTTGAACCAATTATAAAAAAAGTGACCATTTTTAAAAAGGGACAAAAAAGTGATCAAGAAGGTCATATATTTAGAAAAGCATAGTGTCTGCCAAATTTGTATGTCACTGTTAAATTTTATGTCACTGTAGCCACCGCCCGTGTCACTGTAACCACCGATCGTGTCACTGTAGTCACCGCCCGTATCACTATAGCCACCACTCGTGTCACTATTGCCACCACCACACCTCCACTACTGGGGGTGAGGAGGTGGGCGGTCGTGTCACTATTGCCACCACCACCACCCGTGTCACTATTGCCACCGCCACCTCAAGTGGGGATACACTTGAGAGGCTTCGTTGGTATCTAAGTGTAGATAAAGATGACTTTCCGGATGGAAGTAGCTGAGAAGAGGGGCAGAAGAGTAAATTTAATAAAACAACGATGGAAACAATCGTCGCGATACGTAGTACAAGATTCAGCTGCATCGGTACGGCTGTCACAAATTACCAACGATTTAGGGACGGCTTCGTCAATATTCCGTCGGCAATTCCGTGGTTAATTATGGACGGTACTAACCGTTGCTAAATATCCGTCGGGAAATCTATGTTTTTTTGTAGTGGCCATTATTTCCAATTTTAGTCATAGTGGACTAGTGGAGTCAATTTTCCAAATAAAAAACAGACGGAAGAAGCTAGTGGACTAAAATATGATTATTATTCAATTCTTCCCTTTATTCGAGTCAATAATGGTTGAGTTTTTTTGGTAGATATTGACGAGTGTACAGATCCAAATCATGAGCATCAATGTGAAATGAACTGTACAAACACGCCTGGAAGCTATACATGCTCTTGTCCGGATGGGTATCAGATTGTAGGCGATGGTAAAAAGAGAATTAATGGTGGGGTTGGTTGTCTTGCACCAGTTCCACCTAAGAAGTCGGATTTCCCCCTCTGGATCAAATTTGCGTGTGGTAAGTAGTACTTCATACCCCTCTTCTATTTAACATATACTGTACGTGGTATATAAAATTTACAACATTTTCCTTTAAATTTTTCTTCAAAAATAATCAATTATCATCACCTTTTTCACTTTTTATTTTTTCTTTCATGTTTTTCTCACTTTCCCTACTTTTTCTACACTATTCATTTCCTTTATTATTTTCCCCTTAAATATTATGTCAAAGTCTAATGAAAGGTGAGTATTTGACAGGCCTAACGCGAAGACCCAGTTTATTTTTCGAGTCTTCAGCGATGAAAGTAGGGTTGTGCACGGGTCGGGTCTGCGTACCCTAAACCCGTTCGGGTTTTTTAATTTAAATACTAGGCCCGACCCTTTGATATTTCAAATCGGGTATTTCAGATATTTTTAAGTCGAATATTATCGGATTTCGGATCGAGTTTAAGATATTTTGGGTATAGTAAAACACATTATAATTGGATAATTAAAGTGTTGGAATGTCACTTTGACAAAAATTGTACACACTAGTGTACTACACATTAGAATTACACAAATAATTTAACACAAATTGCACAAATAATTACATAAAAAATTGAACACAAGTATTAATTTAACGTATTCTAAGTACACACTACATAATTTAATATATTTCGGATATTTCGGTTATATTAAAACACATTATAGTTGGATAATTAAAGTGTTAAAATGCCACTTTGACAAAAAATTGTAGACACTATTGCACTACAAATTCGAATTACACAAATAATGTAACACAAATTGCACAAATAATTGAACAAAAGTATTAATTTAACATATTCAAAGTACGCACTACATAATTTAATATATTTCGGATATTTCGGGCGGGTCAGGTTGAGATTTTACAAACCCTACCCGCCACCCTGTCTAGGCTCAAAACTAATCGGATTTTCGGTTTCGGGACAGATATCCATATCCAAACGGGTATTATCCGCAAAAAACTTCGGGTTTTGCGGGTCAGTTCAGGTTTTGCTCAGCCCTAGATGGAAGTCCAATGAAAAATTTTGTATTTCCCCCAAAAATTTTGATAAAAAATTAATTTTTACCGAGTCATGATTTCTGATAGACCTGCTGAATTTAGACAGACCATGAGACACCCTCTACCCTTTCCATTTCCATGTCACCGCTACTAAAATAGACAGTTGCATACTTACATTGGAGAAGATTTTTTCATCCCACTATCTATTTTAAATATGTGGCCATGCATTACCAATCCATAGCACCAATCCAGAGTTACATACTTACATTGGAGAAAATAACACATCTAGACAGCATTAGGAAATAAACGTAAAGATACGGTAGAACTGAAAATACTGATCAAACAAAACCATTTTCATGATTGGGATCAAAAGAAGAGAAGAAAAGAAGATAAGAAGAGGCGGCGGCTAGGGTTATCCTTCGCCGCTCCTCTCTCTTCTTCTCACGCAAATAGCTAGTTTAATCTTGAAGTAGTTAAAAACATAAAAGTTGTAATGACGGCAGGAAATATTCTCACCCTCTTGAACTGTTGTGAGAATTTTTCACTTATTCGTGCATTTCGGACCCATGTACGATTTGTAATGACTTCATATTTTAATAAAATTTGGTAAATGTCCCCCGACATTTACCGCACCAAGCGGTGTTTTCTTTCGGGATAAAAAAAAAGTTAAAAACATAAAAGTTTGTGAAGTATTCTAAATCCAAAATTACTTCTTACATATACCACATCACATAATATCCAATTGAGTACTCCCAAGTTGTCTCTGCACACTGAAATTATAATACATGTAAAAATAATCAAAAATAATAATATCCACATTCGGTACATCTTCAATCTAGTGACAACTTCATTCATGATTAGCACTTTCAAAAATAATAGATAAATACTAATATGAATATTTAATTTTAATTAACTTAGTGGAGTACTAAAATGACATCATAAAACTGCCCCTTAGTACAAGTGTAGAATTAAAAGCCACATATTCAAAACTTGTCACTTTTCTAGTTTGTTTATATATATAGATCATTTAATTGATGTAATCTTGGCACAGCAGATTCCGGCTCAATTGACAGCCCAATTACTGGCGATTCCAGTAGCCCAGGTTGAGCAACCTGGTTTTGGGCCGGTACAAGCCAAGAGGTGTCACTCCCTTCAACCCATGTACCATTCTCTACAAAATCCAGTTCCTCTTATCCACCAACGGTTCAACCTCAACATTCTTCACCAGATTCTTTTTCCCCTTCTCCACCAACTCATCTCCAATATTTTGGATAGTTTCTTCTCTTTTTTTCTCATGGGTCATATCAATTTTTTCTACCTTCTTCCTAACATCTTGAACACTTTTTCCATCCTTTGTAGGTGTCAACTTTTTACAGATAAATGGGTGGTGCTCGTATTCTTTACAGTGAAAGCAATAATTGGGAAACATTTCATATACCACCATTTGATTGAATACCTTTCGGAAAGGTAATGTTATGGGAAATGAGAGCTGTGGTGGCTTCAAAACATCCACCTCAATTAGAACCCTAGCAAAATCGTGATTCATCCTGTTATGGGTGTCCTTATCGGTTATCCGTAGTCAATGGAATGCCAACCAGCAATACTACTTCACTCATAGCCTCATCATTCCGAAGCTTCTATGATAGTCTGGGTTTATCCAAATAGGTACTTTTAGAAACTCTTCATCTTCAAAAGAGAGGTTTTCCGATAGTACTTTTAGCATTAATTGTTTCCCAAATAAGGTGTAAGGGACCTCATTCAGCACCTTGGTCCTATCTGATTCATTCTGAAATTTGAAAATTACTCAACCTTTATCATGGGATCTAACAAGATATTTTACTCCCATTTTGATTTCAATTCATGAATTGCTTTAAGACCAGGGAATCTACCTGTAAAGCACGCAACAAGACAATAACCCCATATCTCAACCATGGATGACAAAACTCTATCTGCAAAGTCTAACCACTTTGTTTTTAGTGGGATGTATCTGAGTTTGATATCATGCGTAGGATCTCTATTATCTCTGAAGAGAGTAGTCCATGGCTTTATAGCCATGTCATTGTTCTTTTGGAACACCCATAGCAGGAAACTATCCAGGATTTACTGGTAGTTCAATACCCAGTGGTACATCATCCTCCTTTGAAATCTGCCTAGCTGCCATCAACATATTCTGCCCAGCTCCTGGCAGCTTTCAGTAACACTGTGCAGACCCAGCAGCTGGGATTGATTTCACTGCCTCAGTAGCATCTCCCGCATCATCTATCTCAAAATAACAGCCCCAGATTATTTTGCAGGCTTCTTCCGGCTAATCCCAGATGATAGAGCTCGGAACCCCTAATGGCCTAATCTGTGTTTGCAAGGAGAGCATAGCTGAACCTGGTCACTCGCGCCGTCGAATGCTCCACGGACCCCTGCATCTTCGTTACCATAGCAGAAACGGTGAACAGTATCCGGATTCTGGGTTTCAGTAGAGCAGCCTTTCCTCGCTCAAGCACAGGACCTATTAGTTCGTCTTAGAACGATAAACACCAGCCGAACCTCAAACACAGAAACAAAACCCCCAAATCGACTCTTTTCACCGAAATTGGTTCTGAGAAGTAAACAGTAAACCCACGATTTTTGCATCCGTTCATTGTTGAGTTTTTGGCCAAAAATCAACATTCCAAAAACAAATCCAACCTCGGAACTATAATCGGAGGAGAAATTTGACCTAGAAACATCAAGAGAAAACCCGAATCAAACACTAATATTGGCTAAATGAACGAAAATCAAATTCGTCTTGAACAATACAATCCACGATTCGTCATCTCGTTTTTGAGATTTTGGTCTTCATTCATCGTTCTAAATCCAAATCCCAGATCAGAAGAGGTATTAAGGGAGAAATCCCACCAAGAACACCAATAGAAAGCATATTATGAGGCCAGTTCGTAACATTAAAATTGACTGAATTTATAAAGTTTTGGTTCTTGTATTGGCTGATTCTGATGATCCATGAAAAAATTATATTTAAAATAATTTTTATTAATAAATTAAATAAAAGATAGCTAAAATGATCATCTACATTAACTTCAGCCAATACAGGCACAAAAGTAACTTCAACCTTGTTTTTTCTGCTTATTACAAAATTTAGCGCGCGAAATAAAAAATTACGTATTTGGGGAAAAAATTGACTGATAAGCCTGGCAAGCCGAAAAAGAGGTCACCAAACAGGCTCTTATAAGTCACAAATGTAACACAGCGTAAGATCTAGGTGCAAAAGAATGGGGATCGGAGAATGAAATTAGACCGTTAATTTATATTCTGTGAAATTGAATGTGCATTTGGTGAAACTAAAATGTGCATTAGATGAAGTCGACATGTGCAGTACAAGAGGTAATCTAAAGTAACAGTATGTGAAGCTGGATTGTGCATTAGGTGAAACTGAAATGTACATTTGGTGAACTTGAAATGTACAGAATAAAAACTATGATGTTGTGACATTTTGTGTCTTTAATTCTGCACATATCAATTTCGCGTAATTCACACTTGAGTTCTACCTTTTATTCTACACTTTTCAATTTACTTAATGTACATTTTATCTATATCAAATGGACACATCGGTTTCACATAACATCATCTAACAGTTCAGATTCATTTTCATTTCACTCCTGATAGTCCTTTCTCATCGGAACCGCTCCCTATATATATTTGAGATCAAATAAAAAAGGCCCATTCGTGTGAAAAGGTAGAAAAGATTTGAACCATTAATTAACCGTCGTCACCCAAATTGTCCTCAAATACTTGAGACGTTTTTTGTAAATGGAACTGATAGTTTCCCGGTTATCGAAGTGATATAATTCTAGAGAGAAGGGAGAACTAATAGAGAGATAAAGAACTTGCAATAAATGATTTGTGAACCCTCTACAACTACCGCCAAAAGGGGGTATTTATAAGGGGAATATGTGTTGGGCTCCCAGTCCTTGGGCTTGGGAGACTCAGTTACATAATGAGCCGCTAATAGGCTATTTACAAGTGTTCTAATCCGCTAAGGAAATAATGACGACCCATGCTGGTGATGGGGCCGAGGTGCCAGTGTCCACCTCGCTCGTATCAATGGAAGTCCCTAGATGGTGCTCCTGACGATCTTTTTCCGAGGTGCCCACCTCCGAGTGTGGCGACCGTGGTGATGATTAAGCAAGAGAACCCGTTTCTTCCTTTCGAGTTGGGCTCCTTGGTCAGGCCTACTAGTGCCGCGATAGTATTGGGTCGTTCAAACGTCCAGGAGTATATGGACCGAGGGTCCGGGCCCATACACTGTATGAGGTGTCCCCCACTCTCTAACCTGAGAAGTACCGAAGTGAAAGGGAGTAGAGTTGTTCTGGCGTTGATTCCCTTAGAGGTGAAAGGTGTCTTTGGTAGTATTTTTTTTTTAGTTTTTTCTGATTTCCGCATTTCTGTGTTGTGGCCGAGGTGTAGTCCCCTAAGCCCCCGACTCCTGATGTCGAAATGAATATCGGGATGAGGAGTGCGGTATACCACCGAGGGCTGCTTGGTGATCATGTCGCACCTTGAACCCAAGAAGCCTCCCTCGAGACGGCACGAGGTCTGATCTCGTTGGCGAACCCTGGGCAAGGCAACCCTGTGGGAGAATCCTTGCCTGAAGGTCGCTGGCCGGAGATCGTCACCGCGATGCTCAACTCGAGGGGCTTGCTCCGATCCTTTGAGTGAGGATGCGACCTGAGGCGGTTTCGTGACTCACGCGTGGGGGTGCGGCCTATCGTGGGATCCTTCCGGCGTGTTGGTGTTGGATAGTCGTGTCCAAATGTCTACATTAGTCGTGTAACCGGTAAGTCGTGTTACCTTCCTGTGGGGGGGTCGCAAATGACATGTGGCGTTAGGTGAGAGGTTGAATCCGAGCAGTTGCGTCGATTGAACTGAGCAACGTCTGGATTTTTGACACGTGTAGTGACCGTTGGGCAGTCATCATTACCCCACCTATAAATACCTGATGCTTGCCTTCATTTTTTCAATCTGCTGCCCTCGCTCGTATCAATAGAAGTCCCTGGATGGTGCTCCTGACGATCTTCTACCGAGGTGCCCCCTTTGAGGTGTGGCAACCGAGGTGATGATTGAGCCGGAGAACCCATTTCTTCCTTCCAGGTTGGGCTCCTTGGTTAGGCCTACTGGTGCTGCAGTGGTATTGGGCCGTTCGTACGTCCAAGAGTATGTGGACCAAGGGTCCGGGCCCATATACTCTATCAAAAACTTAGCGACCGTTGCTGAGATATGTAACCGCGGACATACATCAGCTTTTCTAGAAAGAATTTCAATCCATGATTGTCTATTTTCCTTGATTCTCGGTTTCCTATTATGCATATTAGTTCCATTTCTCAATTCGTTCCTCCTACTAAATTTGGTTGAGACATCATAACATTTCTTTTATACGGAGTATATAATACAGCTCTATCTACATACATTACCTGCAAAAAAAACTATTGTCAAAACACGTCCAATTTTATGTGCAACACATACATTAAATTACTGATAAATGATTATTTATAAAATTTCATACCATTAGAAATAAGAGCGGTCCAGTGAAGTTCTTTGTATTCTTCTCCCAGAACAACTTAATCAATGTTGATATGACATACACCAATTTAGGTTTTTTATATCCTCCACGTCAACCACATTGTTCAAAATGATAGTGTTCACATACCCATTAGCGGTGCTGTCCACCAGTAAAAACACTATTAGTATAATGAAATGCCGTTCAAACCAAACTCCACCTAATGTACATTTTAGCATTTTGTCACACACTTGTTTAGGGTAATCATGTTATCATTTTTGCCAAACATGGCTCTCCATTCCACTAAAAGCTCATACTCCTCACTCTTATTCTTCTTTACAATCAAATTTTCTCCATGTGGAAACCCCATCACTCTTCCCCTCTTCCTTATTTTCTCTAATTGATCTTGAATGTTGTTTACGGCCACTGCGCCCACACGGGGAAATCTGCAATTTTTTCTTCTTCCTACCATTATTTCCTAATACATCACGTGCACCTTTCTTATTCAATGCTACTTCAGCTCGTTCAACATTGCCTGCCTGGCGTTTTAATGACAACCCCAAAAAATATAATCAAGATTCTAGAATGACAAGTTTTCAATCAATTTAGCTATACACGTAGATAGGTAGATTGAATGTTGTTTACGGCCAATGCAACTTCTTCCTACCATTTTTTGTAATTCTTTTTAGTCCCTCCAATACTTTAACATGATAACATCTTATGCACTTTTACTACTTCACTATCTTACATTTACTTTATATGTTCAAAAATTCTATGTAGAGTTTTTTGTGTTCACACTTCTACACATGTCTGTGTAGAGTTTTTTTGTATAGACAAAACGTATTTGACAAAATATGTTTTGTCTGTATAGACAAAAAAAGGGATAAGGGTCAGATAGGGCCTCGAACTCGAAAAAAAATGTCAAATAAGGTCATATTTAGGATGCTCTGTCCGGCCGACGCCATTTGGGGCGGTTCCAGATGCCATTTTTTGATGAATTTTTTTGAGCATCTTCCTCATTAAGTCTAGTTTACCCATACCAAATTTCAGCTAAAAATTCAACCGGGAAGGTAGTCAAATAATTTTTTGAAGATAATTGTGAAGTTAAACAACCCCGTACATTTCGGAAAATCATTTGACTACCTTCCCGGTTGCATTTTTAGGTGAAATTTGGTATGAGTAAACTAGACTTAATGAGGAAGATGCTCAAAAAATTTCATCAAAAAAATTCCATCGGGAACCACCCCAAATGGCGTCGGCCGCACAGAGCATCCTAAATATGACCTTATTTGACATTTTTTTTCGAGTTCGAGGCCCTAGTCCAACTCACTCGGGTAAAAGTGTGTGCACCAAAAATGTGTACCTCAAGTCCAACTCACTCGGATAAAGATGAAAGAATGAGAAAAGGAAAAAAGAAAGAAGAATTAAAAAAAATAGAAAACAGTAGAAAAAGTGCTGGCCATCCATGTAAGTGATTACGGGAAACTGTTTAGTAACCTGCAAAACATGTTTAGTTGTTTTTAACAGTTTCTTTGGAAGTACGAGGACTCAATTAACTTTTTGGTAAAGATATGAATTTATTTGACAATTTTTCGTGTTTAAACATAGAATAGTAGATTTAAATGTCAAATATGTGCTAACGAATACTCTCTCCGTCCCCGTATATTGTCCCATTTTACCATTTCAGAAAATCCCACTAAAATTGTCTCATACTATATTTGGTAAGTTTGTGTGGATCTATATCATTTTTATTTTATTGTTACTTTATCAATTAATATCAACCACACAAACTCATTTTTCTTAATAATCGTGTCATTCTCTTTTGTTCCAATATAAGAGGGACGGAGGTAGTATATTTTTTGAATAAAAAATAAACAGAACCTTGCCCAATACCAAAATCCGTCTCATTAGTCTTAAATTCTAGATCCGTTCCTCTTGGATGCAAGTATAGTGAAAAGATTAGGTTAAGTTGCTAGCTAATTGATCTAAATTATCTAATGCTTATGTTAATAGTTGAAGTGTTAGTTATCAAACTACATGTTGACTAGGCTTTGTGCCGATGTAACTAGGTGATTTAACTTTGCTTACAATGTTATCTAGTTGACGAGGCTATACATGTTGACATATTTGATTAACTCTTACCGCATAACCTTGTCACGACAAAGTATCATACAAACATGTCAATGTATGGAGAGATGATATTTTCGAAGGAATGCCTAAATCTAAACAGAGTTATTTCTTGATTTCCTTTTATTTTTTACTTCAATTACATTGAATTTTTGGTCAAAGTTTATGCCTTTATGGTATTAAATTATTAATAATTAATTAATTAATTAAAAGCATTTTTCCTATTCTTGAAGTGGTGTGAATGTGTGATCCATTCTAAACATGATTTGATATACTCTCTCTTCGAAAAAGAAAAATACATTACCAATTTGATAAAGTAGCAAGTTACTCCGTATAATAAATACAGGAACTGAACTCTACGATAAAAGTAAGGGTAAGACATAAATAAAGTTAAAAATAGAACAACATATGTTTTGTTTTCAAATTAAGATTTGCTTAATTCTATAAATATATAATAAAAATATTATAGCATCTCAAAATAAGAATGAATAACTCCTATTCTGGAAAGATAACATTGCAATCCTATTTAAGAAAATGCATTACTTTCCTACATCCTATTATATATGGTTGTCTTACTTTCCTTTTGGGTTGTCCCAAAATTGATGTCATGTTTTCTTTTTTGGTAAGAAATTTTGTGGTCCATATTATTTCACTTTATTCTACTCAAATTTCAACCATAATTTTTACTTTTCAACCACTTTTTTACTAATCGATTTAAATTGAAATGATACAACCATTAAGGGAATAATGTATGACCTTTCTAAGAAATGCATGCTCTCATTGTATATCGAAATTGTTTTGCAGCTAGATGATGATAATTAAATTGGTCATAATAATATTCTTTTTTATTTTGTCTTACTAGACGTCCATCTAAATTTTGTAATGGCCACTAAAAATGTAGGTTTGGGGATCAGCTTTTTGTCTTTGGTTGCGGGACTAACATGGCTATACTTCTTTAAGAAAAGATTGGTCATACGACTTCGAAAGAAATTCTTCCAACAAAATGGTGGTTTAATCTTGAACCAAAGAATAATAACCATAGCAGACGGTGTCGGAGTAGATGTGGCAAAAATCTTCACCGCCGAGGAGTTGAAAAGAGCCACCAACGACTACTCAAGTGACCGTGAACTCGGTCGTGGAGGAAACGGCATCGTTTACAAGGGCATCATGTCTGACAATCGCGTAGTCGCCATCAAGAAATCCAAAACCATGGACAAGAGACAAATCGAAGAATTCATCAACGAGGTGATGATCCTCACTCAAGTCAACCACCGAAATGTGGTCAAACTTATAGGTTGTTGTCTCGAGGTCAAAGTTCCGATATTGGTCTATGAATACGTCTCCCACGGCACTCTCTACGAGCATATCCACTCACATGGTGGCAGCTCCGATTGGCTTTCATGGGAAACACGGTTAAGAATAGCCGCAGAAACTGCCGGTGCACTCGCCTACCTCCATTCATCTGCAGCAATACCTATATTCCATCGAGATGTAAAATCAACAAATATATTAATAGACGGTAATTACGTCACAAAAGTTTCGGATTTTGGCGCATCGAGATTAATCCCTTTGGACCAAACCCACAAAGCCACTTTGGTCCAAGGGACATTCGGGTATTTGGACCCAAAATACTTTCGCACGGGTCAATTGACTGAAAAGAGTGATGTGTATAGTTTCAGAGTCGTTATATGTGAGCTTTTGACTGGAATGAAACCGGTTTCGAGAGAAACAAGCGAGTGGAGGAATTTGGCGGCGTATGTGGTAATATCAATGGATAAGAATCAATTGTTGAATATTTTGGATCAACGCGTTTTGCAGGAAGCGGTATTGGAACAAGTGGAGAGAGTTGCAGAGCTTGCAGTGAGATGCCTTCAATTGAATGGCAAAGATAGGCCTACAATGAAGGGAGTGGCGATGGAGCTTGAAAGGTTGAGAAATTTTAATAAAAACCAACATAGTGATGATGATGTTATTGTTGTTGGTCAAATGGATGATGAAGATGTGTCTTCATCAGCGTCAGACCTTTAAATGCTCCATTTCAATTTTACGCCATGTTTTGCTGTTTCCAAAATTAGATTTTCCATTAATCCTACATAGTAAAGAATTTCCCACATAAATTTTAACATAATGTTTTTTACATAAATTGGAATCATTTTTTTATTTGTACGTTAACTTTTACAAAATATATATCTAAATTTAAAACTTTTTGAGATCTTTTTTATGACACTAATATTACATATAAAAAAAAATATAAAAAAAATTAAGTTTTGGTTGTAGAAGGTTTTTCGGCCCAAATCTTTTCTTAAGTCAATCCAAATTCTAAAGTTAGGTTGTCATGATTTATTATTTTAAATCTTTTAACCCTTTTTTGAAACCGTTTTTTTTTAATTGAAACGTGTAAAAAGAATTAATAAAAAAAATCTTAATTTTAGAATTTTGATCTACTTAAAAAAACCTTTGGGCCAAAAAACCTCTAGCAATCGGATCTTCAATTTTTTATGCAATATCGGTGTCATATGAAAGATAATAAAAAATTATGATATAGATATATTTTTGTAAGAATTAGAATACAAATAAAAAGTTAGAGCACTTCAAAAAGAGATGATTTTTCTCCGAGATTTTTTTTTGTATTTTTATATATGCAATATTGGTGTCATGGGAAAGATAAAACGTTAAACGGGGTAAATGATAAATTCCTTTTACTTAAAAGTGTGTGCAAGTAACTCATCCAAAAATGTACTACTTCCGTCCCCCAAACAACCTCCCCATTGCTTTTCACACATATTAAGGGTCTGTTTGCAACAGCTTCTGCTTTTAAAAAAGTGATTTTTTAATGAAATGGGGAGAAGTGATTAAATAAAAGTTGATAGTGTTTGAGAAAAAAGTGCTTTTGAAAAGTAAAAGTAGGTAGTGTTTGGTAAAATAAGTGCTTTTTGTGTAATAGAAAAAGTAAAAGCACTTTTGACGCGGAAGCCGAGAAAAATAAAAGTTTTAGTGTTTGGGAAAATAAGTGCCTTTTTAAAGCCAAAAGCTGAGAAGTGCTTTTTTAAAAGCAGTTGCAATGTTTGACATTGTTTTACACTGTTTGACATTGTTTTACACTGTTTTGAGGTAAATAATTTGCTAAATAAGAAAAGAAAAACGCAAATCAAGAACTACCTAAAAAAGGAAAAGGGGAAACTTGATTCAGGGCGGAGGGAGAATGAGAGTGAAAGTGGAGTCTTGTGTGGGGGGATTTGCCATCCCTATTCACCACTCTTTTGCAAGAAAGAAAACAACAAATCAAAGAATGGTTGAGCATAACACGGGACATGACCACGCTATGTAGCTCGGTTAAATGGATTTTGAAGGATCACAAAGGATCGAAGATCAAAGGGAAGGCGGATCAGATTGCGTTTGGCGCCACGGTCTATTACCTATGGCATGCTAGGAACAGGAATCGCTTTGATGGTGGGGATGTAAAGGAAGATGAAGTGGTTGCAAAAATCAAACATGTGGTATATAAGATACTGTTTAATATATACCCACATGATTTGATTAAATTTTGAGAAGAAGGCCACGACATGGATATCATGGATGTCGCGGTATGGATACTTTGGGCACTGCTACATGGATTCCTGTATGTCGCGGCATGGACCTCTTGGATGCCGCGGGTTGGGCTCATGAGACACTGTGACATGATTATGGATGCCGCGGCATGTAACAGTGTGTTAGACTTAGGGTGGGTTGCATTTGGCACAACCTGTGTATTTTGTTATGATTTTGACTTTATGATCTGTGTGCGTGCATTTGCAGCATCGATGTTTGTGATGTAGCCTCTACTAACCCCCTCTTTTACTCCTTTATGGGGGGGGGCTACTGGACTTTTGACCGTGTTGTTTTTTATTTTTTGATGGCACCGGTTTACGGGCCTATTGTATATTAGATCGAACAAAGACCTCTCTCACCCCCGCATGTGGGGGTGGGGGGGGGGTTTAGGAGATCTAGTATACTTGATGTATAATTTTCTGGGTGTTAATATATTTTTACATTTCATCCAAAAAAAAAACAACAAATCAACGCAGCAGGCTGTTGCGCGCCTGCGCGGAAGAAATAAGGAGAAAGTGGACACGGGACCAAGGAAAAAAACTTTCTTTTTTTAAAGTCTTACTAGTTACTTCACCCGTGCGTTGCACGGGCGTGAAGTACTACATACTTAATGGTTTAGATGCAATTCTATTAAAATTGAAAAATGAGCCAATTAATTGAAATCGTTTAAAAAGATGACATAAAATGTCATTGTAATAGCAAACTAAGAAGTATATCGTACCAATCAAAAGTAAAATACTCCCCCAGCCCATTTTACATGTCATACTTTCCTTTTAGGGTTGTCCCAAAATAAGTGTCTCCTTTCCTTTCTTGGAAAGAAATATGTGGTCTACACCATTTCAAATAGAAATATTTTTTGAATTTACTAATATTTATCATTTGCTCAAAGGGAAATGTGTGGAAATTCCCAATTTACTAATATTTATATTCATATAAAAGCTACGTAGTAATTCCCAATTTACTTATTTATACATCTAATTGTTTGACTGTTTGAAATTATAAATATTCATATTTTTTTGAAATATATCATACTTCCTCCGTTTTTTGTACTATTCATACATCTTACTTTGATCACGATTTTCTATCAATACATAAAATCAAATTATTAAGTATAAAATGTTATTAAATTTATATTGATGTGAATTTTCAAAATATTAACTTTTTCTAATATTTAGTAATACGTAATTAAATATAATTAGGATTAAAGTTGCGCGTCTGTGGACGCCAAAGTTAACTGTTACTACGTATAACTTAGTATTAAAGAACAGAAGAAATATATACGGAGTAATACTAAAGCTAAGGGTTAAATTTATGTACGGAGTATTACATTCAAAAAAATTGTACTTTCGTACATATCACGGTTGCAAATTTGCAATAGGAAAGGATGACACCCTATTTGAAGTACTGAATACTGATCTTTTTCTTTACTTGATGGAGTAATAATGAGATAATGAAGAAACTTTTGTTTTAAATGAAAAGATAATGAAGGAACTTGGGAACGATTATTTTAACTAATACGTAGTTTAAAAGAAATAAATCCAATGTACTGATAATAAGATGTTGGAATAAATCCGATAATACTTTAATCTTCATATTGGAATTATCTAGAGAATTAACTGAGCGGAAGCGTACCTGACTCCATTGGAGATGATCTTTAAAGATTCGGGAGACGGAGCCTAGGGTTTGCGTCTTCTAGTTGATACACGCCCTCGGGAATTATCTCTCTAGCGATGGGATGCAGAAAGACAGAATGACGTGCTCAACTAGGGACCATAACCCCTCTATTTATAGAGAATGCTCAACCCTAATCAGCCCATCATTAATTAGGTTAAGCCCATGGGTTTCTACACAATTGGGCCCTATACCTTATTAGATAACTTATTAGCCCACTTAAATTAATATCCATAAGACCACTAATTTTTGGGCTAAATATAAGATAACATATAACATACAATTAACCCAATAAATAATATATTGTGAATATTATATGTAGTATAAGTCCAATAATCTAACAATCTCCCACTTGGACGACATACACATATGTACGTATACACAATCTTTAGTATTGTATGTTTACTTTAGGAGCTCCAGAATTTTGCTATCAAACTGTAGTCATCTCTAACCAATCCGGTCCATTAACTATATCAACATAGGACCAAAGAAGTCTTTGCTATATTCACATAACTAGACCCATCAATGATCACATATATTAATATAATAAACGACATGGATCAAGTATAGGTGTGTAGCGTGGAAATAACATGAAGTGTGGTCTGGAATAGAATGTCTATTTCCAACTGGTCCACCTTGAGATCAATAATGTAACTGTAAGAGTACATAAAACTTTAAACTTTAAACTTTATTTCTGCAGAAAATATCCTTAAAAACTGAATTAACCAAAATTATAGAAACATTACAAACTCCCACTAAAACTCATAATCTTCAACTGATTTGACACCCATTTGAGCAACATGCTCATGAAACACTTTGGGTGGCAATCCTTTAGTGAGCGGATCCGCAATCATGGAGTTTGTGCTAATGTGTTCTATAGATAACTTTCCTTCTTGCACTCGTTCCTTAACAGCCTTAAATTTGACCCCAATGTGTTTTGCCTTGGTCAAACTACTGTTGTTCTTAGCATAGAGGACCGCTGACCTATTATCACACAATAGCTTAAGTGGTCTTTCAATGCTATCCACTATGCGCAGTCCACTAACAAAATCTCGCAGCCATAATGCCTGATTGGATGCCTCATAACATGCTATAAACTCTGCTTCCATGGTGGAAGTCGCTGTAAGAGTCTGCTTGATACTCCTCCAGGAGATAGCTCCTCCAGCCAGAATATAGATGTAGCCCGAAGTGGATTTCAAGGAATCCTGACATCCAGCAAAATCAGAGTCGGTATACCCAATGATCTCAAGCTGATCCGATCTCCGATATGTGAGCATATATTCCTTTGTTCTCTGTAAATACCGCATGACCCTTTTGGCTGCTTTCCAATGGTCCATTCCCGGATTGCTCAAATATCTGCCTAACATCCCAACAATGTATGCCAAATCAGGTCTTGTACAAACCTGAGCATACATCAAACTTCCTACAGCCGAAGCATAAGGAATGTTCCTCATTTCTTTAGATTCAAAACCATTCTTAGGGCACTGCATGAGACTAAACTTGTCTCCTTTAGAAACTGGAGTATCTCCTGGTTTGCAGTCTTGCATGCCGAACCTTTTGAGAACTTTATCGATATAGCTCTTTTGTGAGAGTCCAAGAACGCCTTTGGAGCGATCTCGGTGTATTTGAATTCCTAATACAAAAGAAGCCTCACCAAGATCTTTCATTTCAAAATTCTTTGAAAGAAATTTCTTAGTTTCGTGCAATAAGCCTATATCGTTGCTAGCAAGCAATATGTCATCAACATACAAAACCAGGAAAATATGTTTACTCCCACTGAACTTGTGGTATATACAGTCATCACTGACATTTGGTTGAAAACCAAAAGATATGATTACTTTATGAAACTTGTGATACCACTG